GGTCACTGGTGGCCTTGGCAGGGCTGGGGGAATGGGGGACTGCATGGTCTTGGAGGGATTTTCCAACCTAAATGATTCTGTGCTCCTGTGATCATTCTGATGTGCAAAACGAGGCTCCTGGGGCAGGGCAGTGGGCAGGGCCAGCAGTGACTGGGGCAGAACTGTCCCAGTTTTGGGGTGGACATGCTGCTGACAGCCCTGCAGTGACTCTTTTCCTGCCAGGTCTCCAGCCTTCATAACCCAGCCCAGTAACTTTGTTCTGAAGCACATAGTGTGTGATACTTTTTTTTTATAAACTACCTGTTTCTTTTTGGTGATTTATTGGTCTCCTACTGAGGGCAGCAGAGAAGTGAGTCATGCTGGGTGCTGAGGGGCTTCCCCAGGGTGGTCTCTGCTCCATCAGCAGGGCATTCAGGGATTTTTCCCTCTGGATATTCCTAATACTTTGCAGAGGAGGGAGCTGGTGGGACTTGAGGAGTGGCTCAGTCTTTCCCCACAGCTGGGGCTGTTGCTGTCTCAGGTCCTTAACCCACGGGAAAGCTCTGGCAGCCAGTTTAGCTGTGGTTTCCTGGGTTTTCCAGCAGGTTTCCTGGGGGTGATGGAAGGGTGTTCTTACATTCAGAGGAGACACACCCTGATGTGATAATCCATGGTGTGTGACCCTGCCAGGACATCCTGGAACCTTCCAAACCCCCAGATTTCTCTCACCCCCAGGTTTCTCTGGTGCTGCAATCCCTGGGGCACAATCCCTGTCCTGTCCCCTGCCCCAGCTGCCTCCAGGCTCCAGGGGAGGAGCTGGGCTGTGGCTGGGGATGCTGCTGAGCTTTGGGCTGGGAGCAAACTGGGGAACACCAAATGGCAGAACCGTGGCTGCTCTGCTCAGGAAGAGGAGGAGGGATGTTTCAGATGGATGAGTGGCTGAGCCACCGCTTCAGATTCTCTGCAGACACATCCTGCTGCCTGTCAGGCTGGGACTGGGAGATCCAGGGAATCTGTGCTTGCCAAGGAAAACCTCGCTGCAGAGAAACAGCACTCGACAGAAGGCACCCCCAGAAACGAGGCATTCCTGCCACACACACTCCAACAGAGACAGCAGCCTCCAAGCACACTGAAATACCTGATGGCTGCTCTCTGCTGGGATATTTGCCTTCCTAAGCTTAGGATTACAGAATTTGTAACTGGATGTACACATCATCAAAAATTAGTCATCAAATATTTCATCTGTGCAATGATCAGAGTGTGGCTGGGTTTTTTCTTCCATAGCTAATCTTGGCAGAACAAAATCACTTCCCACGGTGGCTGTGGAGTGCTGAGGTCCTGAAAGGCTGGGGCCAGTTTTTCTGCCCAGGAACTGAGATGCATTTTCAGAGTCTTGCCTGTTTATTTGTTCAAGGGTCTGCTTGCAGAGGTGTTCTGACTGCATGGTCAACAATCCAAAACATAAATCAGGCTATGCCAAAGGGGAGGAGGATTGAATGAGGTGGAAAAATGGCTCCAGGCTCTGCCCTTTCTGTGACAAGCTCTCCTAGAAAAGAAGATCCTCTCCAGAAGCCACAGCCCTTCAGTTCCCAAACTAAAAATCAAAAAGCATGGATAAACATCAAGTCTGTGAGAATATGAAAACAACTTCAGAAAAATTGCAGCAGAATCTAGATAAGGAATTGAGAAGAGAATGCAAACACTGCTTGCATGGAAAGCCACAAAAGGCAGTCCCTCAAAAAGGTTAAAAAGTTGTAGGAGCAGCTTACAAAACCTCTAACACCCTATAAAGGGATTCAGGAGCTGAAAATTGTTCTGACAACCCCTAAGACCTTTGACAATCCAGGTGTAAAAGGAGGCTCAGAGAAGGGAAAGGCAGAGCAGGAAAACACAGGGCTCGTGTTCCATCTGCACCCACCGAGGCTCAGAGCCTCCCTGCTCGGGAGATTTGTCATGGATTGAGGCATTTCTGGGTGAGGGCACAGGGAACATGATGAGATGAGCAGTAGCAGATAGCCAGGATGGTGACATCCATGTGCTCTCAGGGTCAGGGAGGAGGAACTGGAGCTGGGCACTGCATCTCCAGCCTGCCCCAGTCCCAGGCTGAGCGGTGACAGCTCTGCTGCTGTTTTATAAAAAGAGCTGGAAAGGTCCAGGCAGTCACATCTGCCATCTGCAGCAAGGATCTGGCTGGAAGCTGCTCCAAAGGCTGGAATGAGGAGACACGTGGTGGAATTTGGTCTGTTAGGGATGGTTTTAGTTTGTTTTTTTTTGCTTTGGAGAAAATCCACGCCTCAAAAATCTACAAAGGGCATCAAAATCCTGACTGATGCGTACATGGTGAGAGGGAAGCAGTTTTATTTTCTCTCCTGGGTTCTCTTCCCTGAGAGACAAATCCAAGATCCAGAGAAAGCTTCTCTGGCTCCTTGGACACTTGCAGCTGGGAAACTCTTCCAGCAGAAGCAGCAGATGCAGGAAGTTTACCTTGGTTCAAAAATTAAACAAATTGATGGAGAGAATCCATAGAGGGCTCTTAAATATAAAACCACCTCTGTCTCAATGCTGCAGATCTCTGGTGGGTAGGAAATAAATCAGGGAATACCCAAATTTGCTGTTCTTGTACAAACTCCTGGATTAAGTGCAGCAATAATAATTGGAATATTTTGCCCATTGAGCTCAATGAGTGGTTATTGATCCTTGGCTCATTTATAAGTAGCTAATTGTGAGTGTTTGCTGTTAGCCTGCTGCATTAAGTTTATCAATTTAATTATAGAACACAGCACTGTATTTATAGATTACTTCCACTGATTGAATACTTGTAGGAGGCTTACATTCCTTCACTTCTTTTTGACAAATATTTATCATTCAGCCTTATCTGTGGCTGCATGGATGTTGTTCTAGAACAATTAATAGAGCTGAAGGGGGGAATAAAATGTAATGGATAATTTATTTAATTAATTTAGCTACTTCTCCTTCTCATGAATTTATTTTTGCCAGCAGTTTGTGTTACATGTCTGTTATTTAAAAATACTGGGTGATTGTTAATGTTCCTTCCTGCTCTGGGAATTGTTTGTCTGTGGCCCTCTTCTGGTCTTGCTCCATTATGTCCATGTCTGGCTCTCAAAAATGGATCATTTGCTTTAAAATCTTCTAATGTTCCTTCAAAAGCCGACATTTCTCTGCTTTTTCAGGGAAGATGAACACAAAACTCAGGCCTGGACCCTAAATAAAAGAGTTGGGTGAACAAATATCTAAAGTAATTGTAAAGTAATAATGTCATTTCTGCTCCCCTTTGAGCACCACACGGGCACATCTCCAGAAGTGATGGTGCCTGCAGGGACTTGGGGTGTCCTGGGTTTGGTGCTGCTTTTCCTCCTCCCAGCCCTGGAGGATTTGCCCTCCACAGCATGATTTCCACCCAAAGAAATGGGAAAAGAGGAAGATGGAGGGCAGCACAGAGAAGGTCAGAGGGGTCACTCATCCAGAACCTTCCAGGAGCTGATGGCTCCCTCAGGACTTGCTGTGGGGACAGAGAATCCTCAGCTGGAAGGGTCCCACAAGGATCATCCAGGATTAGCTCCTGCTCAGGCAGAGCCCCTGGGAACACAAATCGGCAGCGTGGCAGCACAAAGACAAACAAAACATCAACACAATCTCTCCCTGTCCTTGTTCTCCGAGGCTCTGTGGTGCCTGATTTACCCCTCCTGAGTTTGTGCCAAGCTCCTCGCTGGGAGGCCGGGCTGAGTGAAAGAGCTGGTGCTCAGCAGGGCGAGGGGGAGAGAATTCCTGCTCAATTTACAATATTGTGGCTCCATAATAAGATTTCCCCCCTTGTATTAGGTTTGAGGTGGATTTCTCGAACTGCAGGAAAACAGGCAGGAACACAATTTTTGATGGCTCCAGAAGCAGGTTATTGAATTCCAGAGCGAGGGCATAACAGAGATGAGAGGTGGAGTCAGAACCTTGACGCAAAGCTCGCGGACGCCTCGGGCCCCAGGGCCCTGTGCTGACGTGGGCAATGGGCAGCAGATGAAAATCCTGTCTGCCTGCCCAAACTTCCCTGGCTGCTGCCTTCCTCATCCCCCTCCCCTCTGTTCCACACCTGGGCACTCACACTGAGGGTCAGGAGCACTGGGTGATGATCATGAGCCCCGCAGGGAGCGCTCCCAGGCCGGAGTCTGGGGTTTGCTGGCTGGGCTTGCTGCTTGTTTGCACCTTTGTCCTTCTTCCCATGCATTTATCCCATGGAAAACCAGCTGGGATATGTGGCTGTGCTGATGTTCCTGGCTCCTGCAGGGCAGTGCTGGGTGCCTCACAGCTGGGAGCAGTGAAATGTGGTGGGGTGCTTTCCAAGGGAATCATTTTTCATCAGAAATCAGGACACGGCAGCAGCATTTTCCATCCTCCACCCAGGCTTTTGGCATCAGGTCCATGAGGGGGTTTGGCTGGTGTTCAGCCTCGGAATGGGAATTTAAAGGCACATCTAGAGGTGGATGGGAATTTGTTTAGTGGGGTGAAGAGCTGTGGCTCAGTCATGGGAGGGGTCAGGAGGGTGGGATGGGGCTGCTCTGGCTCTCCCAGTGAGGATCCTGGACCTTGATGGAGAGGTGTAGGCAACGCTTTTCACATGTTTTAAGTGGCTTGAATCAGGTTTTTAAGTGTTTTAAGTGTTTATAAACACTTCTAACCTGCAGCCCAAACATGGGGCTGCTGGTGCCTCAAAGAGAGGTTTTTAGGAGATCTGGGAGGTCCTTCAAAAGCTGGGGGAGTGGGAGCCCCTGGAACAAAGGGGAAACAAAGAACATCAGGGCAAGGTTCTTCCCCAGAGGTGCTGGCACTGCCCAGGCTCCCCAGGGAATGGGCACGGCCCCGAGGCTGCCAGAGCTCCAGGAGCGTTTGGACAGCGCTGCCAGGGATGCCCAGGGTGGGGTTGCTGGGGGGTCTGGGCAGGGCCAGGGCTGGGCTGGGGGATCCTGGGGGTCCAGCTCAGGGTATTCAATGATTCTGTGATCTCTCCCCAGGTCCAGGCAGTATCTCTCACCTCCTGGATAAGAGAAGCCAGCTGGAAAGAGGCTGGAGCCCCAGGGAGAAGAAGACAATGTTATCCTGAGGTTTCTTTCTCACCATTTCTGCAGCACATCTCTAATTAAGCTCTCTGAACACACCCTGTTCCAGACTGGCCTGTGGAAAATATTGACCTTTAAAAGGGAGCTGAAATACCCAAGGGGCTGGACAGGACTGGACAGCAGGTGAGCATTAATCTGAGAGATAAATTTTTAATGCTACAGCTTAAATCCCCCTCTGCAGTTGTCTGCACAATTTATTTCTTCTCCTCTCCAGGCTTGTTCCTGTACCCAAGAGAATTGTGGGAATGATGTGGCAGTGCTGGAGGGCAGATGGGAATCCTGCAGTTTGTGTCTCCAAGCCTGTTTGGCTGTGCCCTGGATGGGGTCTGAGGGACCTGGTGTCTGGCTGCTGAGTCTCCTTCCATCATCATCTGCCTCCCTGAGTGCTGGATTCCCTGTGAAAAGTTGGCTTTCCCTCATAATCCCCAAATGACATCCTCAGTTACAAGAGGAAAATGAAGCTCAGGCAATTCACAACCCCATGGATCCAGCACCAGAGGCTTTTATGAATCTTTTTACAACACACTGCCAGGACTCATTGTCTGGGGAGGAACATGGGCTGCACCCCAGCCTCATCCGCCCCTCCATTCCCTCCTGTGGAAAAATGACTTTGCCACAGTGAGAAAAATCATCAGGAAACGAGTGGGAATGGCAGAGAACCACCTGTCCCAATGCCATGTGTGACCTGGGGCTGGCTGCTCACCATGGGGAGGTGCAGACAGATCCCTCAAACCCAGCTCAGGACAGAGCCAGGCACATCCCTAAATCTCTGCCACAGAGGCAGAGCAGGAACCTTTCAGCAAACTGCCTTGTTTAACACCACATTCTGTAGAAATGCAGCATCTTTTTAATGGAGCTGCTGTGGGAATAGAGATGGAGACATAAAAGGGATAAAAAAAAAATCTGTATTTTGCATTTTGCTGGAATGAGCTCCTGCTAATTGTTTGTGTCCAGCTCCTGTTTATGCCACTGTTTTGTTGCACAGCTCCTAAATTAAGTTGGCTCTGGAGCAAACCTTCCCCATCAGCCCTGTGTGGCCTCCCTGGGCTGCTGCATCCACACTGTCCTGCTCCTGCACTCTTGATTAGCATTTCATTAATTAGGAACCTGTGCTTGCTCTGAGGACAGAGGATGTTCCATGAGGAAGCATCCTGGGAAGGAGCTGTTCAACAGAGCCTTGAGTGAGGCTGATCCAGCCTTTTTTTGCCTCCAAGGGGATCTGTTTCTGTTCATTTGCAGTGAACCCTCCTGGAGGGGGTGGTCCCTGTCCACCTCCTCCTGCCTCATCATCGCTCCTCTCCAAGGCTGATGTTGGGCTTCCCAGCCCACTGACCTCAGGATGGCTGTTGGTAGCCACAGCACATCCAGGGCTAATGCTGGGGTGGGCTGGGCAGGGAGGGATCCTTCCAGCTCCATGTCCATCCCTGTCTGTCCCAGACTCTCTCTGGCCAGTGGCCGTGTGCCCTCTTCCAGAGCGTGGGTGTGTGGGCAGCAGTTGAGCTCTGACCTTTTTGGGAGCAGATTAATTGTCAATCCCCCCTCTCCTGTGCCAAGCAGCTGCTGATCTCCTTCTGGAAGCGTCCAAGGCCAGGCTGGATGGGGCTCTGAGCACCCTGCTCTAGTGGAAGGTTCTCCTGCACGTGGCAGGAGGTAGCAGTGAGATGGTCATCAGGGTCCTTTCAAACCCAAACCATTCCAGGGTTCTGTGATTCTCTCTTTTCATCTCTAAAAACCTGAAATTCAGCTTCTTCTGTCAGTCCCTTCTCTCCTCTCAGTCAGGGAACCACCCTCAGGTGTTTCAACTTTTACATATGAATGGCAAAGACATAGCAAGGAAAGAGATTTTTCCAGCCCTGTGGAAAACCATCATGGCTCTGTGGAGCAGTAGGAAGGCTGGTGTGGCTCTTTCCTGCTCTCTTACATAAAGTTAGTGCTTCTCTGGTGCGCAGAGCTCCAAATTTCCACAGATTTTCCTCGTCAGGGGGGCCAGGAGAGTCCTGTCAAAGACATGGGTAAGGGTTTAGTAAAGGCTGTGCTCTTCCCTTCACTGGAAAGGTTTGGGAAAAGGGAAAATCCAGGCTGTGCAAGGCAGAGAAAAGAAAGATTTTAGCTCTACTGAGTCTCACTGCCTTTGGAGTTTTAAAGGCTTCTGCCTTTCCTGTAGATTTCTCTCACAGTCCCCTTGCACAGAAGGAAGGGGAGGAACGAAGCAGGGATGGAGCAGTGCAGCTGGAGCAGGTCTGTGCTGCTCCAGGACGTGGATCCACAGGCTCCCAAGAGCTGCCACTCAATCCAAGGGTGAGATCCACCAGGGCATCCCAGAGCTGGGTGAGGGGCAGGGGCTGCAGTGGCAGGAAGGGCTCTGGGGGTGGTGGCAGCAGTGGTGGGCAGGGCTGCACCCTTCAATCCTAGAAGCTCCTGGTGGTGGGGCAGGGTGGGAGGACTCTGCTCCACTCTCCTGACCTGGGGCCTCCTCACTCCTGCTGCAGCAGGGCCCCTTGGTGCACTTTCCATGGCTATGAAGCTGCCATCCTACAAGAGCAGTTATTCCTGCCCCTGGCAGGGCTTGGAATGAGAAAATCTTTCAGGCTCTTCACACTCAAATAATTCTGTTATTCTGTAGTCAAAGCATTGCTGGCCAAGGAGAGGCTGCTTCACCCCCTTAACTCCATCACAGGGCAGAGATTTCTTCTCTTTGCTCCACCCTGGGAATGAATTTGGGAATGTCAGGGCGGCTTTGGGGTGGGATTCAGGCACTGGGCCAGGGGAAGAGCTCCTCACTCCCTGGATTCTCACCACGTGGAGCAGCCTGAGCCTGGTGGGACTGGGCTCCTGAGCAGCACAGTGGGAGCAGAAGTTCCTGCTGGTACTGCAGTGGAGAAATGCTGCATTAAAGCAGGAAATATCCAATGTGCATTGCAAATGAAGAGGTTTTTCATTTGTGTTCTAAGGGAGGAAAAATATCGCCAAGCCTAGTTAATAACACAGGAAAGCTCTTGTGGTTATCAGGGATCTTCAGCTCTAATCCCCTCTGATAACAGTAAATTGAAGCAGCTCCTCTGCTGAGGTTTTTCTGTTGCTGGATTGTACCCATATAATATGAGAAATGGGCACTGCCTCTCCTATTTACCATTCCTTCATTTAAATAAGTTTTCAAACTGCACTTTCCTCCCTTCAGAGACATCTGATTTACTGCATTTTAAACAGAAACCACTGCTGCAACAATACCTCTTTCTATCAAGATTTGTAATCAGGCTGTTCCTGTTGAACTGTTGTTATTCAAGTTATTAATTTGTCGTTTTGCACAGAGTCTGATCACAGAGAGAGATGAACAGGAGGGTCTGTGCACCTGCAGGCAGAGCAGGATGGATTTAATTAGAGCAAAGAAAGCTGCAGGTTTAATTTTGTGTTTGTGTTGTTGGTTTGGTGTTTCCTCAGCCCAGCATTTTACGAGCTTACGCAGCAATCTGCATAAATTACTATGCACATTTTTCCTTTGGTTCTTACACCTAATTTGATTAATGGTAATGCCTTTGACAGGGTAGATGGAGAGGGAGTTTTTACAAAGGCATGGAGTGACAGGACAAGGGGAATGACTTTAGGGTGAAAAAGATGGGCTATTGGGAAGGAATTGTTCCCTGTGAGGGTGGGGAAGCCCTGGCACAGGGGCTGCTGGGGTTGCCCCTGGATCCCTGGCAGTGTCCAAGGCCAGGCTGGACAGCTGGGATGGTGGAAATGTCCCTGCCCATGGGACAGGGAGGGGGGGACTTTAAGGTCCCTTCAAGCCTAGCCCATTCTGTGATTGTTGGGTCACAGCCAATTCTGTGTAAGGGAACAAGATTGATCAGCCTTGGTGCTCTTCCCTCTCGAGCCAGCCAGCACTGCAGCCTGGCCTTTGACAGTGATTTCAGGAGGATTCCCTTGCTGGCTTGGTGTCTGTGCAAGCAGGGAGGTGCAAACCCTTGCACTGAACATTGCTTTGTTTTCTGAGCTGGGCTCCTGGGCTGCCCTGGCCAGACCAAGTTTCTTCTGGTGGGAATTTCCTGGGGCAGGTTTGAGTTCCCACTCAAACCCCGGGGATTGAGACCTCTCCAACACTTCAGGCACCCTCCCTCCACTCACTGCCTGACACAACCAAGTGAAGTTCTCCATCCATTTCTTCTGCTCACAGTTCAAGCCCAGCAGCCCTCTGCAGTTGGTTTTTGCACCAGAAGAGGTGTTAGGAAGAGTAGAAATATTAATTAGAAGATGCTGACATATTTTATCTCCATTTCTCTTTCACACTTTCACTCATTTTTTACACTGAGGAGAGTGCAGCCCTGGGACAGATCCTGGAGAGGCCAGGGGATCACTGTCCATGGAGGATTTTAGGGCTCAGCTGGGTAAAGTCGTGGCTGAGTTGGTCTGGTGTTGATTCTAATCCTACTTGGAGAAGGGTCTTGGGCCAGAGAGCTCCAGCAACCCCCATTTCTGTGGTCCCTCAGGTTCTGTGCAAAGCCAGCCCCACTGTGCTCTGCCTCAAGAGCCTCTGTAGGAGTGACTTGGTTTGGCTGAAAGAAGAGGAAGCTGAGGCTGTGATCCCACTTTCCTGACATGAATAAAATAAATTAAAAAATACAACAAAAAGATCCCCCCAATGAATTCTAGCAGTAAGAGAAGCCCCATTTTTATTGATGCTGCACAGAGGCAAGTGATTTTGCATCCAGTTTTAGGAGAGCAGTATAACTGCTTTTTGACAGCCTGGTCTAATAATAATAAAAAGGCCCAGCTCCTCGAATTGCAACCTGATAGCAAAGCTGGAGTGTGAATTTATCTCGTAAAAATTCATCTACCATGGCTAAAGCCCTGTAAATTGAGTCCTGTATTTTGGTTGTTAAATAAAAACAAAACCACACTGCAGAGTAATGACAGAAACATTGCTCAGCTCTTGCAATTGTGTCTTGTTAAAACATCACTTAGGGTAACTTACAGGGTTTGATTAAAACAGGTATTTAAATGAATTCTTGTTTCCCATCTCTCCCCTTCTCCTGCTCCCCCTTCACCCTGTGGGGATGTAAAACCCCACACTGAGGCTGGGGTGTCTTCAGGGACAAGAGAGGAGCCCATCACCCTGCACAATAAATCCCTGCCACACTTTGTTCACTGCCTGGCCCCAGCCACCAGCTTTGCCAACAGCTCAGAAGGTCAGAGGATGGCTGAGGTGCTCCCTGTGGTGCTGGAGAAGCTCCTGGGAAGCAGCAGGGGAGATGCTGCCCCACAGCCAGGGCTGGGCCCACCTCCCCTGCCCATCTCCAGCCCAAACCTCCATCCCTGCTCGTGCCCAAATCACTGCTGAGAGCAGAGCAGAGGATGTTTGCAAGCCTAAAACCTGAGCACAAGGAGAGAAATTTGTATTGAAGTGCTTTTACACATCAGAGATTTTTCCTGAGCTCGCTCAGTTAAGCTCAGCTGTGTTGGGAGCAAAAATCCAGAGAGCTGTGTCTGCCTCTGCCAGTGAGTGAGAGGGAGCACATCCTCCTTTGATCCCTGTCCCAAGAGCCTGGAACATGCAGCTTGTGCTCTCCCTGAGCCACTGCCTCAGCTTTTTGTTGAATTTAAAGGCCTTCAATGGATTATTCTTCTGTGAACTTGCCCAGCTGCTTTTTGAACCCATCTAAAATTTCCTCTCTGCAGGTTCCTGCAGGGAGAAGAGCGAGAAGAGCCCCAGCTGAGCTCTGGAGTGTGTGAAAAGTCCCTCCTGAGACTGTTCTGAACATTACAATTACT